ATCGGAGACAGGAGACTGATGCTCATAGACATTCTCAGCAGAGATTGAATGAAAATGATGAGGACAGGTCACGGAGACTAGAGACTGATGCTCATAGACATGCTCAGCAGAGGTTGGATGAAAATGATGATGAAAGGTCTCAACGACAGGAGGCTGATGCTCAGAGACATGCTCAGCAGAGGGTCGATGAAAATGATGATGATAGGTCACGCAGACAGGAGGCTGATGCACAAAGACATGCACAGCAGAGGGTGGATGAAAATGTTGAGGAAAGGTCACAAAGACAGGAAATTGATGCACAGAGACATGATAATAGAAGACGCCAAGCCAAGGAAATGAATTATCAGATTGCGTTAATTGATAAAGGAAATGAAATTAATGTTCCTGTTCACAGATTGGGGAAAATGTGTATTAAATGCAAATTTTGTAAATCATTGAATTTTGAGTGTGAAAAGCCCAAGGATGGAAAATTTACATATTGCTGTCAAAAGGGCAAGGTTATATTAAAGCCAATAGATTTGCCTGATTTTCTTAGGAAATTATACATGGGAAATGATAGATTATCAAAGAATTTCATGGATAATATACGATCATATAATAGCGCGTTAGCTATGGCTTCAATGGGCGCACCAAGCAATAGGAATCCAATGGATGTTGTGAACCATGCTCCTTATTGCTTAAAGATTCATGGTCAATATCATCATTTGACATCTACGGCAATGCGCCCAGGAGATGGGCAAGCCCCACGTTATGCACAACTTTATTTTCTGGATACAGAAGAAGCTGTTAATTACAGAATGAATAACGAAGCCAATCAGGGGTGTGATCAAGAACTAATGAAAGATCTGTCGGTATTCATGGTCAAAAACAATGAACTTGCAAAAACATTTAGGATGATGCGTGAGGTAGAAAGAGATCTGAATCCGAGAGGCACAGAGGTTCCAAACTTAATGTTGTGCTTTAGAAATGATCCAAAACTAGATCAAAGAAGATATAATGCTCCACGAGCTAATGAAATAGCAGTTGTTTTTCAGAATGTAGATGGTGAGCCTCCATTCGAGAGAGACATTCGAATTTATAACAAAAATTCGAACGATGTCCAACAAATTTCAATTCTGGATAGAA